TGAGAGACATACAATTTCAGGACCATTTCACGAGTGTGTTGCCTTAGGTTAGACTCAACAGGCGTCTTCAGAGCATCATTATCAATTCCAACACGTCGGCCCCTGCTATCACAGTTTTTAAGGCTAAAGTTACCTGAACGAAATTTGATGAACCATCGTTGACACTTACGAACGACCAAAACATTTCCATAAACTTCTTTGATATTCTTTGTGGCTACAGATGCTTGTTTCCATTCTTGTATTCAAACAGCAGTACATGCCGAATGTGTGTCTCGTCATGTGCCATCAGTATAAGGGATTACATTATACTAAACTTTACACATTATATAGGCTAGACTAACGTGACGTTTAGGCGGTTCGTTTAATTATTATAAGTGTTGTACGTTTTTTTTTGGGGGGGGGTTTAATGAAAGTGTTCCAAAACCCGACATTAATTTCTTGACGACCTAATATACATTTAGATTATTATAAAATGTTAACTATTTGTTGTTGGTTGCTGATTGGAGGAATTTTTTCAACATTAATTTTCGAACTAAAAACGTATTTAGACAAATAAATAGGCATAAGATTTAACAATGAAAAGTTTCTATAATTGAATTTATAAAGTGTATAATAGCTTCATCTACATTTAATATTAATATTATAATGCACGGTATATTAAGGACCGGTTTTTATTATTGTAAGTTTTTCAGTAGTTTTATTTTTTGTCACTCGTATCATACTTGACAAATCTATCAAATTACTTTAAAATTCATTGGATATTTGTAGTTTTAAAGATATTTTTACTTATAGTTTGATGTATTTTTATACCCAAATTTATATATTTTTATTGAAAAGGAATGACTGAAGTTGCCTGTATTACCAGCTAGATATAGAGCTCAGAGTCACTTTAACTTTCATCTCTTTGAATCGCTCTTCACTCCCAAATCAATTGTTATTTTCTGCACCGTGCCACACAAAAGTTGCAAAGTAGCATTATAAATATATACACGAATTCCAATTTTCTCTGTTGAAGATTCCAAGTAATACAGGCAGCTTCAGTCACTCCTTTTCAATAAAAATATATAAATTTGGGTATAAAAATACAAGTCCAAACCACCATGGACAGATAAGTAACTGGTCAGCTCTGTCCTTACTTCCAAACCACCATGGACAGGTAAGTAACTGGTCAGCTCTGTCCTTACTTCCACAAATCCATTGCTATTTTTTGCACCGTGCCACACAAAAGTTGCAAAGTAGCATTATAAATATATACACGAATTTCGTAAGCTATTTTAATAACATAAAGCTAGAAACTTATATCGTACAATAAAACGTAGTAGCGCATGTTACGAACCAAAACGTATACTATATCCAGCCAAGAACTGCAGTTTCGAGATACATCAGAATAGCTAGGAATGTTACCTTCATATTCACGTGAGACAGCTTTATTAATGATTTTCTGTTTCATTATATGAACTGCAATGTTTTATATTACAAGAAACAGCATTAAGAAAGAAAAAAACAAGCAAACAATGCATGTTGGGTCTATATATCAAATTAGAGAAATAAAACAAAACTACACACAACACAATTTTCCACACCTAAATCTGTGTAAACTCCACTGTGCCATAAATTATAATAGACTTACTATGTAAATTCCATTGTGCCATAAATTATAATAGACTTACTATGTAAATTCCATTGTGCCATAAATTATAATAGACTTACTATGTAAATTCCATTGTGCCATAAATTATAATCGACTTAATTGGTCCAATGAAAACTTACATAGTTCGATACTGAAGTTTTCAGCTGATTATGTTTTTTGCTACCTAAAGCGAGATAACATGGTTTATGTTAAGTTTACTTGTCTTTTTAAATCTCCAAGACTGACGATCCTAATAAATAAGTTACTTTATCGTATTATATTTTGATAAAAGCTACTACACAACTTTTACACTCAGTTTTTCGTCATTGCTAAAAATGAAGTAGAACTAAAAAAGAATTTGTGTATGTTTATTATCTTCTAAGATTGTTTTACTTACTAAAACTTGGAAACTTTGGGCCCTTCCTAGGCCTACCGTCCTCATTGAAGAGCACTAAGAGAGGCTGTTTGTTCACGTGATGCTGATGACGTTTAGCAAATCGCAAGACTCCGTTTCTCACTACTTCACCGGTCATTGTTCGAGCAGATATGAGGAATCCTATAAGATATAGAAAGGGGTTAACTTAAAGATATAGACACTATTAATACTAATATCGTTCGTGACATTGTAGTTAACCATTCAACAATTTATAAAGTTAAAATCTGATGAAATAATAACCAGTAAGAATAATTAATGTTAATACACATATTTTCTGGTCAAGTTCAACTAGTTATGTGGTCGGCAAGAGACGAGACGACAGACTTAGTTTTGGAATATACTTAGTTAGTAGCTGTACTGGCCACGCTAAGGTAAAATATATATAAACGACCCGCGCATAAAAGTACATTTGTTTAGTTCTCATCAAATACCAGATAGGGAACTCGTGGTTGAAGATACAGATATGGTTTTAGAAGACTTGTAACCACATAAAGGTTTTTATACATTGAATGACCTCTTTAATAGGATTCTGTATTTAATGTCGGGTTGAACTATATTCTTCTGCAATACGAGCTTGGACTCAAAATGGAAGATTCCAGTAGTCCATAACATTCCAAGAGAATGGACAGAAATTGCTTCGCAGCTGTTGGAAATGGAAAATGATGGCAAATTTGATGTTCGACTCCATACCAAAATTATTGAATTGGACTGAGCTCCATTAGTTTTTGTAGTCGAAAAATGTGACTGAAGTCACTGTTATGCTTTTGGAAATAATGACAGCAAAAGCGCTGTGTATTATTTTACTATCATCTCGAAAGAGCCTTCATTCATGAGTGTTGAACTCGATAACTTCTGAGTGGTCTTGATCAGCAACAATGTTCAGGTATATTCTGGTTGCTAGTTACTTTTCTAAAAGAATCACAGAATCGCTACCTTTTCACGAGAATATATTCTGACGGAACAATAAAATTCGGGTCAAATTTATCATGTAGGCGTCTTCACACTTTTACCATATTACCAGTGCTATAAAAGGTGTAAAATGATAATTAGATAACTTCACATATTATTAATTATTCACTCCTAGGAACTAGTGCTCTAAGCACCACTAATAGATATGATTTTATTTTTGTATCTGAGATGAGCAAAGATCGGAACGGTTTCTAATTACCATATGACTCTTGTTAGAATGTGCTTCACATGATAAAATAAGAGATAAATGAATCCTTATTGCGTTTTATTAAATCAATTAATTGGGCTACAGTCTAATTTTTTTTGTATTTAAGAAACATATCATCTTTCTCTCGGCCACAGTCCCCCCCCCCCAGTAAAATATATTTTTCTTGTTGATCGACACTCGTGATGACAGTTGATTTTGAATAATTGGTAAGAAAGGAATCTCTAATAGCTTCACCGCTGCTAGAAAAGCACCGACTATCATGCCCCTCTTTAAGTCTTGCTAACTTGGGATTTTTGAAATCAGATAAAAGCAGATTAACAGAAAAAGAATTTAATATTTATTTATTTATATTTTGCCTTAACAGCTTTGTCGAACTTCTCACGTTTTTAAGCTACGCCTCACACTAATCCTTAGGTAGTAGTAGTGCATGGTATATTAATTAAAAAATATTAAGCAGGGAGCAACATACTTTTATTTTTTTAATTCCTGTAAACTCCCAGCGGAGCTTAGGGCCGCAACAACACCTCGCCAACGGAAGGTGTTGTTGCAGTTACTTGTGGCAGGTTGGTTTTTACGGGGTGGAGTTGCTAGCCTCGCGCCCAGCCCTCCTCATCTTGGGACCAGGCAAAGGCAGAGGTTGGCATGTTTGGTGTGATGGTGATTCGAACCCGCGACCCTCAGATTACGAGTCGAGCGCCCTAACCACCTGGCTATGCCGGGCCTGGAAGCAACATACTAATTCAATTAAACAACTGTGTTGGACTTCCTCTGATGTTGAGTTGCACCCCACAGAAATCCACGTAAAGCAACAATGCCTGATATATTCAGTAGAATCTAGTGATCCATATCATCATAAAGTATTGTTATCCTTAGTAACAAGTATTATATTTGTAGATGCTGGTTTTAACAACGATGTGCGACTTGAGTTGTAACGTGTATGCTAGCTTTTATTCAGTAGAATCTAGTGATCCATATCATCATAAAGTATTGTTATCCTTAGTAACAAGTATTATATGTGCAGATGCTGGTTTTAACAACGATGTACGACTTGAGTTGTAACGTGTATGCTAGCTTTTATTCAGTAGAATCTAGTGATCCATATCATCATAAAGTATTGTTATCCTTAGTAACAAGTATTATATGTGCAGATGCTGGTTTTAACAACGATGTACGACTTGAGTTGTAACGTGTATGCTAGCTTTTATTCAGTAGAAACGGATATTATTCATTTAAAGCAATACCTTACATAATTAAAATCTACATGTCAGTTAACCATTATTTCAATGCATACATACACACACATAAGCATGTATACATACAACACACAAAAATGTGTGTATATATCAAGGAAGAATTATTAAAATATACAACTAAAATAATCGTATTTCGGCATTTGGAATGGAAACTTTATGCAACACATGGGCTAAAGGGCCAGGCCAGAAACCTCTAAGCATCAGTTATGTCCATAGCTGATCCAGAGTAACCAGTCAGGACCACCCATCTTTTATGCAATTACTTTTAACAGTAAAGTAGGATTGACTGTCACATTGCTAGAGGTGCGGAGCGTGTTAAGTAACATGTCGCAGTTCAAACTTTGGGCTTCCTGATCCTTAACCCATCACCTAACAATTATATCATACTCGGTGAAAACATATTTCCCTGTTTAAACTCTCTTGTCTTATAATTAAGTCAAGTTACAAAATTAATTTTATTTATTGTTTTAATATAACGATGTTGGTTCAAGTCGTGTAACCTACTGTATGAAAGACTGAATAAGGAATAAGATCATTGTGTACGATGTGCTAGACTGAAGGATAATCTTCCTATATTCCAAGTCCCGTGCTACCCTTAGTACTATTCCATCAATTGTCATTTGTGTGACTGTAACTGCGCACTATTGTCCGATACTGAAATGTTTACTGTAACAAGCTCATGTAAAGGACAACGAGGCCATTCTTAGAACATGAATCTTGATAAGCATTCAATAAACCCTCCACTATAGTGGACCTCACATTCCAAGATCACATTTAAGTAGCGACAGTCCAAAAGTCCATTGGACCTGATGGAGAGACTTGAAATATATGGTCGAATGGGACTGCCGTGACTCCATTTTTTATGCCCATTTTTCTCATGAAAACGGTCATTTATTACGAGGTATAATCCGAAGCTTGCAAAAATTTCAGTTTGTGAGACTTTGTGAATTTCAAGTCCTTGTCATTGAAACGGAAATGTTGTTCTCTTTGGCTCTTCATCGGATAATAATCTCGCTATACAAATGCCCATCTCCGGAAAAAGCTGTGATACATACCTCCAGCCATAAATTCCCATGACAGCGTTGCACTAATGAACGGTTAGGAACTCGCCATACACAAACTTATATATATATATATATATAA